GCAGGCCAAGCAGCTACTCCAAAGCCAGCCACCAGCTTGACAGGGAAGGGACATGTTTGAATAGCTTCGCACTATAAGGTCTGCACAAGCAGCTCACTCGCCAGCACCTGCTGGGCCTGGGGGGGCTGTGGTGATGGCAGATTATGTGTCAGACATTTGCCTTAGCTCCACTGGTTGAGGAGAGGAGTAGTAGCAGGATCTGTATCATGGACCTCCCACAACTTAATTTCAAAAGGAATGGAGTACAAAAGCAGGGAGGCTTTGCTATAGTGACATAAGACACTAGTCAGAGCACAGCTGGAAAACTGTGAACAGTTTTGGGCCCTTTATCGAAGGGGAGACATACTGGCATTGGAGGTCATCCAGAGATAGTTCACGAGACAGATCCTGGGTATGGAGGGACTGCCTTATGATGAAAGGTTAAGTAGACTGGTCCGGTACACATTGGAACATAGAAGAATGAGACATGACCTTATTGAAACATATAAGATTCTTAGAGGCCATGACAGGGTAGATGTGGAAAGCTTGCTTCCCCTTGAGAAAGAGTCTACGACCAGTGGACATCATCTCAGGATAAGGAGCCGCACGTTTAAGACAGAGTTGAGGAGGAATTTCTTCTCTCAGAGGGGAGTGAATCTGTGCAATTCTTTACCTCAGAGGGCTGTTGAGGCTGGGTCATTAAGTATATTCAAAGCTGAGATAGACAGATTTTTGATCATAAAGGAACCAATGGTCCTGGGGAGAGGCAAAAGCATGGAGTTGAAGATTATCAGCCCAGTCGCAATCTCACTGAGTGGCAGAGAAGACTTGATGGGCTGAATGGCCTATTTTGCTCCTACATCATATGGTCTTATGGCAGGAGGTATTTGGGTTGAAGGTAAGCACATTGTAGGATTGTTGGCAACTCACCAGCCACCCTGGTGTAAATGGAGACACATCTGTCACCTCTGAATGGTCCAGTAGAAAATGGGGAATAAAGGGGAAAAGATAGATTCCAGCAAAAAGGTGATTCTCAGGCAGAACAACGACATCCACGTCAAAAAAAAAAAGAAATCCATTGCCTTTTTGAGAAATGTCCATTTCATTGCAACACAACTATTCATTCAACAGATGTTCCTTTATGTGGTGCAGATGGTTCCTGTACATTGTGATCAACATACAACACCCTGCCAAGAATTGACGCGTTTGGTTCAGGATGACACATGGGGTGAGAATATCTGCACTTTCAGTAAACGTATGAACGGGAAAGAATAATTAGCTCTGATCTTTAATCGCGTCCAGCTCAGCATTCCAGTTTGATCAGCAACGCTCCACAGCAGCCTGAACTGGTGGTGGAATTCACAAAATATTTCCCACATGACCCTTTACAGGATGAGTACCGAGTGATATTCTGAATCATCTAGTCAGCAAACACAGAGGGCAGGTTATTCTGCATGGTGTCACCGTGCTAGCTCTTTGGATGAGCTATCAAATTTGTACCACACACCCACTGCTCCCCATCTGTGCCCCCTGCCCTTGCTCCCCACCCTTGCAAATATTTCCTTTTCAAATATAACCATAAGAACAGTTTGCAAAAGCAATCTTGTAATTTCGTAACAAAAACCAAAAGAACTGCGGATGCTGTAAATCAGAAACAAAAACAGAAATTGCTGGAAAAGCTCAGCAGGTCTTGGCGGCATCTGTGAAGAAAAATATCAGCGCTAACCTTTCGGGTCTGGTGACCCTTCCTCAGAATCGGACCCGAAACGTTAACTCTGATTTTTTCTTCACAGATGCTGCCAGACCTGCTGAGCTTTTCCAGCAACTTCCGTTTTTGCTGTTGTAATTTCGTAATTTAGAAGACAACCAGCAGGCCTAATTCAGGTGTTATTTTTAATATTCATTAACAGGATCGCTGGCGAGACCAACATTTTGTTGACCATTCCTAATTACCTTTGAACTGAGAGTCTTGCTTGACCATTTCAGAGGGCAGTTATGAAACAACCACATCGCTGTAGGACTGGAGTCACATATATGCCAGACCAGGTAAGGACGGCAGGTCTCCCTCCCTAAAGATTTAAAAAGGTGTCCTTGCCACAGTACTACCCTCAGAAAGAGGGGACTGAAGGTGGTTTATGTCTTAAAACCATTAGGACAAATGCAAAAATGTCAAATTATCACAATTTAGATATTGTCTAATCAACCTGCTCAGAGATTTTATTGAGGCAACACTCAACCCCAGGCTTCTCTAGTTCAGAGGTAGGGGCACTACCACTGCACTTCAAACAGCCCCTAAATCAGCTGCCCAATAAACTGACCCCCTGACAGGTATCTGTGAACCAGACAATTGACAATGGTTATGTGGTCACCATTAGGCCAACTTTTTATCGAATTTAAATTACACCATCTGCCATGATGGGATTTGAATCCATGTTCCCCAAAGAACAGCTTCGGGTTCTGGATAACTGACTAATGACATTCCTGCTTTGTCACTACCTCCCCCTACCCAAGGTGCTTAAAGGAATGAATAGGATAGGTAGGGAGAATTTATATATTCTCATGGGAGTTGGGGTTGGGCTGAGGGTGGGGACCAGAACAAGGAGGATCAGAGAAGATTAACACCTTCAGCTGACTGCACCCATTCTGAAAATTCAAACGTCCAATTATTGACATGTTCTCAAAGTAAACTCTGAGGACAGATACTAAGAGCTAGAATGAAAGCTTTTCTTATGGAAAAGTGAAAAATCATAGATCACTGATCGCAGCTATTCTGACCAGGAGAGATAGGAGCAAAAGTAGGCCATTCGGCCCATCGGGTTTGCTCCATCATTCAGTGAGATTGTGGCTGATCTGAGAATCCTCAACTCCATTCTCCTGCCTTCTATCTCCACCTTGAATATACCTAATGACCCAGCCCCGACAGCCCTCTGCAGTAAAGAATTCCACAGATTCACTCCCCTCTAAGAGAAGAAATTCTTCCTCATCTCACTCTTAAATGTGTGACCCCTTATTCTGAGATGATGCCCTCCGGTCCTGGACTTTCTCACAAGGAGAAACAACGTCTCCACATCTACCATGTTAAGTCCCCTATGAATCTTGTATGTTTCAAAAAGGTCACCTCTCATTTTTCTATATTCCAACATGTACAAGCCCAATGTACTCAACCTCTCCTCATAAGACAGTCCCTCCATACCTAGTATCAATCTGGCATACTTTCTATGAACTGCCTCTAATACCAGTATATCGTTCCTTAGATAAAAGGGGACAAAAACTATTCACAGTATTCCTGCTGTGGTCTGACTCATGCCTTGTGTAGTTTTAGCAAAACCTCTGAACTTGTATACTCCAATCCCTTTGAAATAAAGGTCAACATTCCATTTTCCTTCCCTATTACTCACTGAACTGGGATGTCCATTATATCTGTCCCCACTCTTAAAAAGCACTAGGTAGTCAGCTCTGTTTGTTCTTCATCTTTCTCCGTTTCCTTGTTTACCCTTCTCCCACTTTTGTTTTTGAGAATTCATCCAACTTCTTTTTGAAAGTTCCTCTTGAATCTGCTTCCACTGCCCCTTCAGGCAGCGCATTCCAGATCACAGCAACCCTTTGCGTCAGATACATGTCGGCTCCTTTTGGCCCAAACCTCATTAATGTGTTTCCCTTAGGTTTGCCAATTCTACCCACCACACCAAACCACCCCCTCCCACCCCACCCCGATGGAACCAGTTTCTCCTGATCGACTCGATCAAAGTTCTTCATGATTTCAAACACCTCTATTAAATCTCCCCCTGAGCCTTCACTTCTTGAAGGAGAACATTCTCATCTTCTTGGATCCCACTCCCTGGCTCTCTCCTGCTCTAACTCCACAAAACGTGTTTGTTTCTTACGTATCCTCTCATTACAATTGAATCTTGGGCTGAATGTGGAATACCCTCTCCCACAGGAGACTCGCAGCCCGATGCATCATTTCAAATCCAACATCCTCAGATTCCCCCTCACTTGGTAAAGGGAGGCAAAGCAAGTGAAGTCATAGGACAGCTTTTGTCTTCCTGAGTGTCAGGATAGACAGAGGGGCTGAATGGCCTCCTCCTGCTGTTCTTTCTCGCCGCAGCTGAAGGTGGGACAGCCGCAAGAAAGTAATGATGTGATCCATTTGGAATCCTCAAATTGGAACATACTGCATCCCAAAATGCGAGAGAGAAGAGTTGGGGGAGGGGGGATAGGGGTTTGGGGGGTGCGGGGAATGGTAATCCACTGGGATATCTAAGACTTGGCAGAACAGGAATCAAAGGGAACTAAAAACGGGAGGGGGATCACCTTCAAACAATCCTGTGACAAATCCCCATCTATCCCCACCCCACCCCCACCCTGCGATCATCAATGCTTTTAAATTGAATCCTAGTACCAGTTAACCCCAGGATCATAGCTCAGAGTCTCATTCAAAAGCTTTTAACCAGCAGGGAACATTGCAATGGTAGCAGGAAGGAAACAACATCATCGTGAAAAATTAAACTCAAGAATGCCAGAAGAATTTTATCTTTATTCATTCATGGGAGGTGAGTGTTACTGGCTAGGCCAGCATTTACTATCCATCTCTAATTGCCCAGAGGGCTGTTAAGTGTCAACCACATTGCTGGCCATACTGGGTAAGGATTCCTTACTAAAAGAAAAGATATTAGTGAACCAGATGGGTTTTTAATGACAATTGCGATTAGATTCTTAATTGCAGTTTTGTTTTTATTGAATTCAAATTCCTCCCTCTGTTACGGCAGAATTTGAATCCAGGTACCCAGCAGAATAACAGGGTCTCTGGATTAACAGTCCAGAGATAATCCCACTAGGCCACCAACTCCCCCTATATTATTAGCAACAGACTGATTGAGAATGTTCAAGGTTTACAAATAAAAACCAGGAGACTATCTCCCAGTTTGCATCCCAGTCTCAAGGCTGGAGCTCAGCTCGATCTAACCATTCCCCTTTCCAGTTGCATTTTAAGCATCCAATAAAACAGAAATCTCACAAACCTTGTGCCTTTGTCACTCATTATTCGGCTGCCTTTCCAGCTTCGTAGACAGATCCCCGGAATTTCAGATCAGAGCCGAGCCCTCGAAGGCTACAACTGAGATTTAATTCAGACAGCCCCTGTTTATTGCCGTCTCTCTATCGCCTTTAATCTCGTCCACTCCCACTTCTCCTCAAATTCCTTTTCTTCCCGACGGCCACACACCCCTCCCTTATCTGATAATTAAACAGATAAATTTCTCTCGTGGAGGAGGGTTAACCCCAAATCCCTACTGCTCAGTTCCACTGTCATTCCTTGCTGCACATCAGACACACACACACAGTCAGACTCTCTACTCCTCACACAAACACACACACACACACAGAGACATCCCCACGCCTAGCTCTGCTTAAAGCTGAACCAACCATTATACCGACTGACTCGTGGGCAGAAAAGGGTATGGTTTTGACAGCCTCCCAAATTAATGTCTCATCCCCCAGACACCCCAACTCTGGGGAAAGGAGAGTGCTGATAGATTACAGAGAACAGTTCAGGACTGGACAGACATAACAAGACAGAATAGAGAAATAGGCACCACTATACTAGATACAAGAAGCAGAAAAACATTCCCTAATATGGATGGAGATTAACAAAGTGAACAGACACATCTATAGGAATGGTAGCATAGTGGTGGTGTCAGAATCTAATAAGGTATAAACATGTGCTCAGAATCCCATAACAGTGACTGTGCAATTCAACAAATTTGTAATTGGAAACTATTGTAACCAGGAAACAGCTGGATTGTAGCAAATCTGGAACTGAAAGCTGGTCTCAGTGATGATGACCGTAACACATCAGCCATTGTTGTAAAACCCACCTGGCTCACTGATTTTCTGTAGAAGGGTCTAGACCCGAAATGTCAGCATTCCTGCTCCTCTGATGCTGCTTGGCCTGCTGTGTTCATCCAGCTCTACACATTGGTGGCTCACTGATGTCCTTTAGAGAAGGAAATCTGCAGTCCTTACCCGGTCTGGACTACACGTGATTCCAGACCCATAGCAATGTGTGTCCTCTGAAATGGCTGAGCAAGGGCAATTAGGGATGGGCAACAAATGTTGGTCCTTGCCAGTGACACCCTGAAAGAATGAAGGGGAAAATGTACCCTTTGTAGGTTACTCACACATCCACAATTATACACATGTCAATTGGAAAGGTGGTGTGATTTTGCAACTGAAATATTCATAGAGTCACTGAGTGGTACAGCACAGAAACAGACCCTTTGGTCCAACTCGTCCATGCAGACCAGATATTCTAAACTAATCTGGCCCCACTTGCTAACATTTGGCCCATATCCCTCTAAATCCTTCCTATTTATACATCCATCCAGATGCCTTTTAAATGTTGTAATTGTACCAGCCTCCACCACTTCCTCTGGCAGCTCATTCCATACACGCACTGCTCTCTGCGTGAGAAAGTTACGCCTCATGTCCTTTTTAAATCTTTCTGCTCTCATTTTAAACCTGTGCCCCTCTAGTTTTGGACTTCCCCATTCGAGGGAAAGGATCCTTGTCATTCATTTTACCTATGCCCCTCATGATTTTATAAACCTCTATAAGGTCACACTTCAGCCTTTGACACTCCTGGGGAAAAAAGCCCCAGTCTATTCAGCCTCTCCCAATAACTCAAACCCTCCAAACCTGCAACATCCTTGTAAATCTTTTCTGCACCTTCTCATGTTTAACAATATCCTTCCTATAAATGGGTGGCCAGAATTGTGTGCGGTATTCCAAAAGAAAAAATCTAGGAGCAGAAATAAGCCATTCAGCCCCATGAACTTGTTCCAACATTCAATACGATCATGGCTGATTTCACCTCAGCCTCAACTCCACCTTCCTGCCCACTCTCTTTAACCCTTCGACCTGTTACTAATTAAAAATCTCTCCACCCCCTTCTTAAATGTATTCAGTGTCCTGGCATCCACCGCACTCTAGGGGAACGAATTCCACAGATTCACGACCCTTTGTGAGAAGTAATTCCTCCTCATCTCTTTAAATCTGTCAAACCTTCTCATAATTTTTTTTTTCTGAAGAAGCATCCCGACCCGAAACGTCAGCTTTCCTGCTCCTCTGATGCTGCCTGACCTGCTGTGTTCCTCCATCTCCACACTGTGTTGTCTCACACTCCAGCATTGTCAGTTCTTACTATCTCTCATAAAACTATGACCTCTTTTTCCAGATTGCCCCACAAGGGGAATCATCCTCTCCAAATCTACTTTGAGAAAACTTTTTAGCATCTTATAAGCCGTAATTAGATCTCCTCTCGTTCTTCTTAACGAGTATTGGTCTAAACTCAATCTCTGTTCATAAGACAAATGCCTCAATTTTGCTCATGCACTGTAACAATTCTGTAGATTTTAATGAGAACACCTCGCATTTTTGAAACTTTACACTCAACACTTCTATGTTGAAATGTGTTGGGTTAATACTTCAGCTTGTTCATTAGTTTGACCATTTTCATTTGCTGTCTTTGGTTGAACTATTGGTGAAACCTTTTCACATCCTCAACTGAGTGACCTGAAGATTCTTTCTTCCTTGATGTGATATCTATTATGGTTGTTGAGGATTCTTCTTTGGAGGGCAGGAAGGTAAATATTTGAAGATGTCCCTTCAAAGTCAGCTCAACATCTGATGTGTGACTTGAATTTGCCATAACTCGACTCAGTGCACAGGATAGGTGCACAGTAAATGCTGGTCCAGCCAACACTGGCCATTTATTGCCCATCTCTACTTGCCCCTTGAGAAATTGGTGGTTAGCTGCTTTCTTGAACTGCTGCTGACCTTGTGCAGTAGGTAAACCCACAATGCCATGAGAAACCTCAAGGGGTTTGACATAGTGACACTGGGGGTACGGCAATATATTTCCAAGTCAGGATGGTGAGTGGCTCTGAGGGGAACTTAAAGGGGGTGGTGTTCCCATTTATCTTTGTCCCTCCAGATGGTGGTCATGAGTTTGGAAGGTGCTGTCCAAGGTGTGTTGGTGAATTTTTGGAGCGCAATTGTAGATAGTACACACTACTGAGCATCAGTGCGAAAGGAGTAGATGTTTGTGGATGTTGGTGACAATCAAGGGGGCTACTTTTTCTGAATGATGTCAAACTTGAGTGGAAATTAGGGAGTATTCCATCACACTCCTGACTTGTACCTTGTAGATGGTGGATAGGCTTTGGGGAATCAAGAGGTGACTTACTCGCTGCACAATTCCTAGCCTCTGACCTGCTCTTGTGCATTGCATTGAAATGGCAAGTCCAGTCCAGTTGTGGTCAATGGTCAGTTACACTGGGCTCTGGTGAAATCATCTGGAGTACTATGTACAGTATTGGCCATCTTATTTAAGGTAAGGTGTAAATCCATTGGAAGCAGTTCAGGGAAAGTTTACCAAAGTAATATCTGGAATGGACAGGATGCCTTATGAGCAAATGCTGGACTGGCAAGGCTTGTATCCACTGGAGTTTAGAGATTGAGAAACAATTTGATTGAAGCATACAAGATCCTGAGGGCATTTAACAGGATGGATGTGAAAAGGATGCTTCCTCTTGTGGAAGAATCTAGAACTCAGGGATCGCTTTTTAAAAATTAAAGGGTCACCACGTAAGTCAAGGATGTGGAGAGATCCTTTCTCTCAGGGGATTGAGAGTCTTTGGAATTGCCCTCCCCAGCAGGTGGGGGAAGCAGTGTCTAAATATTTTGAAAGTAGAGATGGATAGATTCTTGACAAGCGAGGGGGTGAAAGGTTACTGGGAGTAACTGGGAATGTGGAATCAAGGATGCACTTATATCAGCCATCATCTCATTAAATTGTGAATCAGGCTCAAGGGGTCAACTTCAGCTCCTCACCCGAATGTTCATGTTTAGTTAAGATGGGAACGCGACTGTTGAATTCAATGGAGCCAGTGGGACATAGAGGTACAGAGATCGATGGCTCAGAAAATATCCCTTTGGCTCATTAAGTCTGTGCCAATCAAAAACAACCACCTAACTATTCTAATCCCATCTTTCCAGCACTTGGTCCATAGCTTTGAATGCCTTGCCAGATTGAGTCATTCCAGTTGGATTGGTTTAGAATGGAAATTGACAAGTCACGGGTACTATCAAAATGTGTGTGGGAGTAGTTGTAGCTCAGTGGGCTGGATGGTTGGCTTCTGATGCAGAGCGACACCACAAAGGATTCTCCTTCTCAGCTTCTTCCTTCACCAAAAGCATTATGGCTTAGGTTAAACCACCACCAGTTGTCTCTCTCTAATAACAGAGCAGCCCTGTGGTCTGATAAGACTAAGGTGACTTTACCTGTATTTTTGCAAATAGCTCTCTATTAAATTTATCAAGAATGTTGTATGAGGGGAGATTGGTCAGACTGGGCGTGCATCCACTGGAGTTTAGAAGGATGAGAGGGGGAATCTGATTGAAATATATAAAATTCTAACAAGTTGTTCAACTTGAAAGGGTGTGGAAAGATTTACGAACATGTTGCTGGGGTTGGAAAGATTGAGCCATAGGGAGAGGCTGAGTAGACTGGGGCTTTATCTCTGGAGCGTCAGAGGCTGAGGGACGATCTTATAGAGGTCTATAAAATCATGAGGGGCATGAATAGGGTGAATTGTCAAAGTCTTTTTCCCAGGGTAAGGGAGTCCAAAACTAGAGGGCACAGGGTGAGAAGGGAAATTTTAAAAGGGAACTAAGGGGCAACTTTTTCATGCAGAGGGTGGTGCATGTATGGAATGAGCTGCCAGAGGAAGTGGTGGAGGCTGGCACAATTGCAACATTTAAAAGGCATCTGGATGGGTACACGAAAGGAAGGGTTTAGAGGGATATGGGCCAAATGCTGGCAAATGAGAACAGATTAATTTAGGATATCTGGTCGGCATGGACGAGTTGGACCAAAGGGCCTGTTTCTTTACTGAACATCTCTATGACTCTGTTGATGGACAGTCCAGATGCAGGGAGGACGTTTCTGATGAGTCCAGAACCAGGGGACACAGTCTAAGGATACAGGGTAGACCTTTTGGGACTGAGGTGAGGAAACATTTCTTCACCCAGGATGAGGTGAATCTGTGGAATTTCCAGAAGCTAAAGGCATCAAGGGGTTTGGGGAGAGGGTGGGAAGGTGGCGATGGAGATAATGGGTCAGACATGAAAATGTTGAAAGGCAGAGTAGTTTCAATAGTCCGAGTGGCCTAATCCTGCTCCCGTTTTCCACATGCCTATTTTGAACCAGATCAGGACCCAAACAGACTGGAATGGAACCAA